GGAAGAGCATGCATAAACACACCTTTCTGTTCCCATTGACTAAACATACTACACTGGTTTGGCTGGCCCTGTACTATCTACCAGCTTAAGTCATCTCATCACCTGGGAGTGTCTGAGGTCCAGGAGGGGACATATTTTCATCTACAGATATGGTTTACTAAATAGATTTTTCCAAGAGGGGAAAAAATAAATGAAGGGACATAAGGGAATATAACATAAAACTTGATTATACATTTTCTATTTTCTTCTTTTTTACATATCAGAGAATTAATAACTGATTTAAGAAAAATGCATTTCAATAGAAGTTTGTAATTAAGGGAATATTTCATTTAATGCTACCCTGACAGAAGAAAAGAAACAGGTCTATAGATAATATTCTTAATTATAGAAGAAGAGGAGGAGAAGGAGAAGGAGAGGGAGAAGGAGGAGGAGAAGGAGGAGGAGGGGGAAAGGAGGAGGAGGGAGAGGGGGGGAAAGGAGGAGGAGGGAGAGGGGGGGAAAGGAGGAGGAGGGAGAGGGGGAAAGGAGAATGAGGATGAGGATGAGGATAAGGAGGAAGAGGAGGAGGAGAAAAAGGAGGTGAATGATGAGGAGGAGGGAGAGGTGGAGAATTAGGAAGTGTTCTTTGTAGACAAGGAAGAGAAAAATAAACAAATAAAAGAAAAGGAAGAAAAAGAAGAACATAATGAGGGAAGGGAGAGATAAAAAAGGAAGAGAAAAAAGGAAATACAAGATATAAGAAGGAAAAAATTAATAACAGAAAGCACGGTCATTAAAGATGACAAGAAAAGAAGAAAAGAAGAAGAAAAAGGACTGGGTCTCAGCATTCATTCTTAAAGAAGACACAGTTCACACCATAATATACAGCAGCTTGTAAATTGAAAATACAGTAAAAAAACAAAAAAAAAACAGGATAATAATAGAAATAAAAAGAATAATTTTAAAAATCTCGCTTATCTTATTTTCCAACCCACTGTTGATAGGGGGAACATGCTATCCTATCATTGTGAATATCAACACAGACAACAAATGATGAAATTAAAATGCCTTTAAGGTTTTAACTGCTGCATTAAATTTCAAGGGTAATCCGGTAATTATGTAAATTCTCCACCAAAAAAATTTAATAGGTGTTTTCTGCATTTGCAATACATTTTCAGTATCTCCCGTAGCTACTGTTTTCATATGTACCACTAAAACTCTTTGATTATTGCTCTTTAGTGTGATTTTTTTGATAGATACAGATATTGCTAAATCGACAACTCAGAAATGGATGATGAGAGTTCCGTCTATACTCATTGCCCATTCATGAGTGTAAGTTTTCTATGTTGAGACTGCAGAGGGAGTATAACCAATCTCAAGTGAATCTGTACACAAAATAGTAAGATCCACCACATCGACCTGTGATATCAGTATAGCTTTATCAAGTAAAAAATCTTACCCACTGGAAAAGAAAATTGAGGTCACTACCATAACATTTGCATATCGCAATTGTGTGGCATCAGTTCAAAAGTGAAATAAAGTTTCCCAAGATATTATAATGAGAAGCTGACATATTCATATTTGAAAATACAAGTGCATATTCAAATCTAATATCTAACTTTTGTCAAATCTGCATAGCTCATTATCATAGCCTTTATCATCCCAATTTTCAGTAATACAGCAATGAATGGCAAAATCCTTCCAATACAAATTAATGGTACAACTTATGCAATTTCTCTTGTAATTTCAAAATATTTTTCAAATACAAAATCCTTAAAAAGTCAGAGCATGAATGATCAAGTCCACAGTAGATTTTATAAAACCAATAATAATCAATAATACATCACTCTCAAAACAGCTAAAACGATAAACCTTACGTCAATATTTTAGTAAATGGAGCCCTGTAGGAATGTGAACCTAATAAGTATTCCCCTGCATAAAACTGCTTAACCCATTGCCGCCGGGGATGGCATGTACGTACATGCCATGCCCACTGTGAGTCGACTTGTTCGATTGTTTTTACACATAGATGGCTACACTTGTACTAAGTATCCAATGAGCCAATTATGAGTACTGCCTGTCTCGCCCGTTCACCCTTTTCATCGATTTATGAAAATATTTAACGTTATCCTAATTTGCTGTTAAAAATAACACCATCTATATTTATTGCACTAGTAAAAATACGTTTTTTCCCGCCAATTCAAGGAAAGGTGAAATCAGGACTAGCAGAGCCATCTATGGACAGAGATATTTCACAAAAGTATAAAAAATGAGTACTGCATTTCCCCCATTTTTTGTTAATTTTCTCCGGCAGCAATGGGTTAAATATCAGAATGAGAATAATACCACATGGACTAAGAGGATTAAAGAATTAAAGACAGACAGAGGGAGAGAGGAAGAAGAAAAAGAGAGAAAAAGAGAGAAAAAGAGAGAAAAGGAGAGAGAGAGAGAGAGAGAGAGAGAGAGAGAGAGAGAGAGAGAGAGAGAGAGAGAGAGAGAGAGAGAGAGAGAGAGACGGAAAAATAAATAGAGAGAGAGAAAGAGAGAGAGAGATGGAAAAATAAATAAATAGAGAGAGAGAGAGAGAGAGAGAGAGAGAGAGAGAGAGAGAGAGAGAGAGAGGGAGAGAGAGAGCAATATTACTGCTTTTTCACTTTCATTTTTAAATATTGTTTTATGTTATTTTCTTTCCTAGCTTAACAGTTAACCCTAACTCCATATGTATGTATATAATCAGCTTAAGAGGACAAAATTTTCACTGTTGCAGCAAAAGCTAAATGGAAGAATAACCAAAACTAAGCCCAAGCAATCCTGACTTGGTTTCATTTTATTCATGATTCTGTGAAAAATACTCGTTCACACATATTCTCCGACTCTCTTGTTTTCAAGGCTTATACACTTTAGTATATGTGTTAAGTGACACAATTAACAATGTCTGTATATGGCAAATATCTAAAATAGCATGTAGAACCTAACCACTTTAGTACAAAGAGGAATAAAATAAATGAAGTACACATACACTTTCCTAAGACTATTACTACACTGTATTAGTGTTTCCATGCTTCTTATTCAGCCGTAATATCTAACATTCCTGTCTTCTTGTTATGGAGCACATTCATCATTATGTACTAATAAGCTCTTTTTCAGTAGAATCAAATCTCTCACTACAAGCATGAGCACTAAGAGTGAGCAACATCTGAAACTACAAATCACTTACATAATCTAAGTTGGTTAATTCTTAACAATGCATTATTTTCTTCAAAATGCTCCACAATAAATCATCGACACACACTAATGACTTTCTTTCACTCTAACTGACATATCAGTATAACAGATACATTAGTCTAACATGCAAAGTATAACAGATATCAATTTCCTTTTGTCTTTTCATTCTATGCATGACACACTTATCCACGCTCATTATTGTCTCTGTGTTTAAAGCTAATGAAAATTATTAATTCAGAGGAAGTTAACTCACTAACACAGAAGGAAAATAATCTAAATTCTGATTGCTAATTCTATGATCATTCTATGTTTTTTTCTCTTTCCACTGGCAAACATTTATAATTCACAAAGCTCTATTAAACATTACCATTAGCTAACATTCTGGCTGGTTCATAGGTCATCTGGATCACATGGACTCATCTCTAAGAACTTTTCAAGCTTCTCTGCAATTATTCTATCTCTATAGGCTACGTAAAATCATTTCCTTCTAGCTATGCAGTAGTCAGTAGTAATAATCAACACTGAGAATGCAACACACAGCTTATGAAGCAAGCATTTTCCAAGACAGCATAACCTTGTAACACTAGCATTGTCAAGACTTCAAATGTATAAAAATGTTGTCGAATGGCAACATGAACTAAATAAGACACACATGGAGCTTATATGATCTTGTGGAAGAGTTTCTATATCTATTTTTCTTAACATTTTGGTGCATAACTGTGAGATCTATTGGATAAATGAAGGGTACAAAATCATGTGCCCATCTATCTGGCACTGAAAGTACCTAGTTATCTCTACTTGTAAGTGACACAGGGTAATCAATACACCCAGACCTGTTAATGGTGCAACACTGAGTTTGGTGATCTGTTTATAAACTGTTCTAGACTCTGCAATCCTAAAAGATCTATATTGTCGGGAATAAATATGTCTGGCAAAAAGGGAAAATTTAAGTGACTTCAGGTTTCAAGAATGCTAACATCAGGGATATATCACTAATGACTCAATGCACAAAAATGGGCTCTTACTCTTTCGCCTTCCACGAAGACAGATACACTGCAAGAATTCAATTCCCATTATGTGAGACTTCTAGATCTATCATTTGTCGGACAAACGCTGTAATTTCTTTGTTCTCATTCTCAAAATCAAAGTAGAAATGTTAACAAACACTGAATAGAACATATTCAAATTTATGTGAACATGAAGGTAAATTGTAGCATACCCATGCAATGCCCCCACAAAATACCCACATACTTAACCTTATTATCATTATTTTTCTTCTAAAAGAGAATAAGTATCATTCTTTTCATTTCATATAAACAGTGACCTATCAAAGATGAGAAAAATAATGAAAAGCAGTGCACTTCTAAGTTAATATTGCTGTGAGGAAGCATGGAAAAAAATCATTTTTTCCACTGATCTTAGGCACTTCTGTTAAGCATACCTGACAAAGAACCATAAGATGCTGTCATCATTCTGACCATCATCCAAGCATATTGTGTTTGGTGTCAAAAGCAAGTATGAAAGCGAAAATCTCTATGTAAGCAGTGTTTGAAGAACATAAAGGAAGAGTTGAAGGTTTACTTGTGATACAAAATAATTCCCAACTTTTTTTCCTTTTCCATTCACTTCAAGAAATGGCTACTCATCATTTTACTCAATCTTCCAAAAATACCTCAGAATATTTATATGAAAATAATTAATTACCAAAGCAGATTCTACAATTAACCCTCATATCTGAACTCCTCTGAAATGTCTCTGATAAGCCTGAGAGAACAGAAAATCAATATTGTTCTCCCTTACCGTCGTCTCCTCAAAGCGTTGTTTTGGCCGGGCAGACCGAAGAATCCACGGGGAATGACCATCTGTGGGTTTCCTCTCGCAGGCCTGGATTTGCCTAAGGCTGACAGCGAGGACAAATGGGCAGCATAACCGTCACTTAAGACCTGAAATATCGATATAATGTATGATAGTGTATAAGTTGTGACTACCAATGTAAAACTTCTAAGTAGATGCTTGTGTAAAAAAACAACTTCCTCCAAAACATACATACATATGTAGACAGGTCAATTACTCTCCCTTTCTGGCATGTTGCTGTACTACTATTGTCATACTAAATATAACTTATATTCCTATATAAGTATCAACTGTATTACCTGTGCATTTGCATGTTGCTTTTTGCTGGCCTTTCCCACAATGTAAATCTGCCCAGTCTTCAAGCCAATGCTGTTGTACACTGCAATGTCCTTCGAACTTCCATACGCTGCTACAATGACGATTGCGTGATCCTAAAGGGAAATAACCCAAATGAAATTTAAGACAGATCAAAAAGAAAGAAAGAAAGAAAAGAAAAGAAAAAAAAAAGGAAAGAAAAAAGAAAAAAAAATATATATATATACTGAGAGTATTAACAAAAAGATTCTACACTACTGCAGTCCTCTCCTTACAAACCAAAAAAGCCCCCAAACAAACAAAGAGAAGAATTCTTTACTTGGATCAATCCTCGAAGATATTCCGCCTTATGTGCCAGTGGATCCCTTGTGAGCCCGTCAGCAAAGGAGACAAGGCCATGGGGGAAGTTGTGTTGGGCCAGCCAGGACACAACCTTCTGCTGCTGCATGTCTGGCCGGCCAGTCACGTAGATTATCAAGTATCCAAGTTCTTGCCAGTGTCTGTCAATGCAGGTGGGATTTAACTTTTGTATTTGTTGACTGACTTTGATTGTTCCCTCCCCCCAGTAAATCAATATAGGGAAAAGAAAAGAAAAGAAAGAAAGAATTACACACACACACACACACACACACACACACACACACACATATATATATATATGATAAGCACAAAAATGTGGGGAAAGAGAAGAAAGAGATAGATGTTGATGACATAGGTGAAAATTTGGGAAAATAGAAGTATAATAACAAGTCCAGTTATAAATATAAAGACTTGAGCTAGAATTTGACAAAGGAAAAAAAAAAAATAAATAAAATAATTAGTATGTCTGTTTACAAAACATGTATCTATTATTCATGAAAAAAACAGTATTCTCTTAACACAATGAGTTCATGCTATATGAAGGTATCATTCACCTTTCCTTCAATTCTGTAGTGAATATAAAAATCCATTTTCATTAATGCAATATCAACAAGGAGCTCAAATCATGGCTTGCTACCACCAAGCAGCTATCCCAAATTGATTAATCTATCTAAATGCCACAGTAGAAAAGAAAAGGAAAAAAAAAAACTTGAAGATGATGATATGAGATTAAAAAATGAACAATAAGATTGATAAGAAAAAAAAGGAAGAAATAACTTGAAGAAGAAGAAGAAGAAAGAAAAGAAGAAGAAGAAGAAAAAAAAAAAGAGAGAGGAGAATCAGAAAATGAACAATTACAAATGGAAACAAGAATCCCGAAAAGAGGAAAACAAATACTCACCGAACAACGTCAACAGCTCCTGCGCGAACTTTAGGATCCCGGCCTGTTACTGACACCGAGGCTGTGAAGGACCCATCAATACTAAACACTACACACTCGGTTTTGGGGGGCACAACAGTCAGGTAAAGAGTAGCACTAGTGTGGTCACCTCTGAAAGAAACAAACGAGGTGAGTGAAATCATCAGTTCCGTAATCCTGGATTATCATGATCACCTTTAAAGACCCATTAACAAGTTTCTGAAAGATAATTAAATACTCAGTTGAATTTGCTGCTCCATGATGAAATACTAAGATTTTCCCTATGTCCACCTAAGTATATAGTAACATCAAACTCACATGGCACATACTAGATGGCAGATAAACTAACTGATCCTCTCCTGCTACCAATAATTCATGGAATACTTTCTCTATACAAGGGTGAATGAGTTAACCCTATGAAAGAAACTTTTACCCATGTCATAGTGAATCCCGCACCAGGAGCCACTCAAGTTAAGAATTAGAAGCACAGAAAGCGGGTTTTTCGTTTCTATGATTTTGACTGTAGTATACGTTAACCCAATGGCGCCGGGTGTACAAAAGAAAAAAAAAAACTCTACGCTTAAACAAACAAAGGCGGCGCGCCGACTTTGAGCGCCCGAATCACTGGCTCGCCGCCGGCTCGTTTGGCTGCACGCCAGCTTTCAAGCTCTTTGTTTACACGCCGATCAGCGTCACCCGGCACCAAGGGGTTAATGAATGAAGCTAAAAAGACTTTAAGCCTACTTTGAATAGATATACCTTCTCAATGACCACAGTCAGGGCCAAACAAATGGAAAAATTAACATAACATAGAGCAGCATAGATACTTGCCACATGGCACATGAGCTCGTTGCATCATGGTAAGAATAGATGGTACCCAGCGTGAACAGTTTAATATATATTTTGAAAAATAAGAATACATTCTGCAATTCTTAATAGTCACATATCCAGATGAAACTAATTGTTCAGAGATATACCAACAAAAGTCGTCTATTGCATTCCTTAGCCTTTACTTTATATGAGGATACAAAATACTCATAAATATCATCATCATAAAACTGCAGTGACACTGGAACAGTGCTATCCCCTAAGTCCTTTGCGAATCTTGCTTCAGTGAAAAGTAAAACACTACCACACTGAAAAAAGTGGCAAGCAATCTATTGAAGGTTACTGTATTTTCACCACCGGTTGATTTTACTTGCACTCATTTTTAACCAAAGCTGCCCTTCAGTCACATTATCTAAAATGAGAAGGGGGATAGCTGAAAAGCAAATTAGTAATCAGCAACATGTTTGTACAGAATCAACCAAACCACCACGACAATTGCACAGCAAAATCATCTTCGAAGCAGATTGCTAGTTCTCTCCCCTTGCAAATATCCACCAAATTTAGAAGGTCTCCACTCAGAGCCACTACCCACACCACATTAATGCCACCTGGCCCTTGTCACCACCACAACATGCTCTAGGTGCCCATATCTTTGTAAAAAAAAAAAAAAAAGAGAGAGGAGAATCAGAAAATGAACAATTACAAATGGAAACAAGAATCCCGAAGAGGAAAACAAATACTCACCGAACAACGTCAACAGCTCCTGCGCGAACTTTAGGATCCCGGCCTGTTACTGACACCGAGGCTGTGAAGGACCCATCAATACTAAACACTACACACTCGGTTTTGGGGGGCACAACAGTCAGGTAAAGAGTAGCACTAGTGTGGTCACCTCTGAAAGAAACAAACGAGGTGAGTGAAATCATCAGTTCCGTAATCCTGGATTATCATGATCACCTTTAAAGACCCATTAACAAGTTTCTGAAAGATAATTAAATACTCAGTTGAATTTGCTGCTCCATGATGAAATACTAAGATTTTCCCTATGTCCACCTAAGTATATAGTAACATCAAACTCACATGGCACATACTAGATGGCAGATAAACTAACTGATCCTCTCCTGCTACCAATAATTCATGGAATACTTTCTCTATACAAGGGTGAATGAGTTAACCCTATGAAAGAAACTTTTACCCATGTCATAGTGAATCCCACACCAGGAGCCACTCAAGTTAAGAATTAGAAGCACAGAAAGCGGGTTTTTCATTTCTATCTGTTAATGAATGAAGCTAAAAAAGACTTTAAGCCTACTTTGAATGGATATACCTGCTCAATGACCACAGTCAGGGCCAAACAAATGAAAAAATCAACATAACATAGAGCAGCATAGATACTTGCCACATGGCACATGAGCTTGTTGCATCATGGTAAGAATAGATGGTACCCAGCGTGAACAGTTTAATATATATTTAGAAAAATAAGAATACATTCTGCAATTCTTAATAGTCACATATCCAGATGAAACTAATTGTTCAGAGATATACCAACAAAAGTAGTCTATTGCATTCCTTAGCCTTTACTTTATATGAGGATACAAAATACTCATAAATATCATCATCATAAAACTGCAGTGACACTGGAACAGTGCTATCCCCTAAGTCCTTTGCGAATCTTGCTTCAGTGAAAAGTAAAACACTACCACACTGAAAAAAGTGGCAAGCAATCTATTGAAGGTTACTGTATTTTCACCACCGGTTGATTTTACTTGCACTCATTTTTAACCAAAGCTGCCCTTCAGTCACATTATCTAAAATGAGAAGGGGGATAGCTGAAAAGCAAATTAGTAATCAGCAACATGTTTGTACAGAATCAACCAAACCACCACGACAATTGCACAGCAAAATCATCTTCGAAGCAGATTGCTAGTTCTCTCCCCTTGCAAATATCCACCAAATTTAGAAGGTCTCCACTCAGAGCCACTACCCACACCACATTAATGCCACCTGGCCCTTGTCACCACCACAACATGCTCTAGGTGCCCATATCTTTGTAAAAAATAAAAAAAAAAAAATTGTGTACATGGAATAACACTGTCACACAATTAGACCATATCCTGAAAAACTGAAACTTGCTGGCTAATCTAATACACAATTTGAACTCAAAAGTATATACAAGCCCACTTCTGTCTTCAGTACTACAACATTTCTTGGATATCATGAACTATAACTATTGCATCCCATTCTTATTTCTAAGTTTCTTTCCCTCTGCTATATCTGGAAAGATTGCAACCATTGAATGGCACTCATGACAAGTAGAAAAAGATATAAATTAGAAACAGAATGAATAACTTCACAACAGATGCAAATGACATGTTAGATTTAATCTTACTGAAAACTTGCATGTAATTCTGATGAAGGCTTAACTGAAGAAGGTTAACTGAATCTGCATATTGACACTATTCATATTCATTTAAATTATTTCTGTTCTCAACTTTCATATACCAAATATGTCTCTACAAAAAAAAAAAAATATTTGACTGTGTTTATCACCCTGTTTAACCTCCACAGCTGAATCTACTTCCATATATATTCATAAATTACGTAGCTACATAAATATACTCGTTTATCTTTGGCCCTCTATCCTGTAGTCAAAAGTCCGATAATTTTCATTTTTATGATCTTAATGATAATTTCTCCTTTGTTTTCCCTTCTGGAAATAGTTCAGTCTATTTTGTTCCAACTGTATTCTTGTAACTAAATAAACAAAATAAATATTATACAGCAATGCAACTGTGAAATCAGAGGGAACTCCTCAGTTATTTTCATAAAATCAATGTTTAAGAATAAATTATTTCTAACAAGTATGATCCACTACACCTGACATACCTAACACACATAATATTATCTACTCAATTCATAAACCTCGCAACCTCTCCTTTTCAGTTCCGAGCAAATCAGGGAAAGCAAGTTAAAGAGGTGAGGAGAACATACCTGACAATCATCTTCACGGGATACATCCCAAACCCAAGAGCTTTCTCTGGAGCAATTGTGAAAGATATGCGCCCGTTCTTGTCGGTTACTTCTGTGCTTATTTGCTGCCAGTCCCCTCCTGGGGGATCCCGCATGATGTGAATGTCCACCTTTTCACCTGAGAAACAAATGAAGGAAAAATGTAAAGCAAAATACAATCATGAGTCATTATCACTAAAACAAAATACACTCATAAGTGCTAAAAAGAATTAACATTTGTGACCTCATTTGCAATATTTATGTTTACATACATCTGTATATCTATCTGTATTGAGATTAATCACCTTAAAATAATTATAAAAAAGAAAGAAAGAAGAAGAAGAAGAAAAAAAATCATGCAACAGCATTTTAACATATATTATATATGATGGAGACAACAATGTGATGTCAACAAAATTCAGATTCCCTGAAAGAAATAAATTACATTAATGATTAAACTAGTGAAAGAAACCTTACAATGTAGTGTATTTGTCTCGCTCCTCTTTATAATCATGTAAACTAACTTTCAATTCTACTTTTGACTTTTAACCATCGGCCACAGGTTTATGAACTGTCTACTGTAATTAGGTTTGTTGTGGGTGAGAAACATTACCATGAAAGTTTGAATTAAAATGTTTGCTTCTGAGTCTAACATAACTTTAAAATGATGTATCTGATAAGCAGTGAATGCATGCTCACTTATGAAGCTTTAAAGTCTTCATAAACAGAAACAAAACAATGACATACAGAATAGTAATTTCCATTTCCACCTTTAATTATCTATTAATTCATTTAAAGCCTCTTTGTTTCTAAATATCCCATCTGTTTTAAACTATAAATTCTATAACCAGTCCTTAATATTTTTTCTAGACTATCTCAAGTCATCCACTGGCATTTGAGAAAGGATAATTTTAACATATTCAATTTTGTTTTCTTTCTACTCATCACAGCTCTGTAATCTCCCTGCACTCCTGACCACTGCCATGTTGTACTTGCGCAATAAACCCTTCCTAATCCAATGTGATAAGCAATAAACACAATTAAAGAAGCCATAGAGTATGTACCTGAGAGAGCAACCATATCCAGAGGTCCATACATGAATCTTGCTTGTATGCACTGGGGGGCACCTTCACGTACAATGACATCATTCCCTCTATGATTGGCGGCAACATTCTGGAAGAGTCAAAATAATCATACCATTGAGATGTATCACATATTCTAATAACACCAATATTCAATGATCTGCTCCAACTCTATCTTTAAATATTCACAAATCATCAATTCAAAATGAAAGATAAAAATACATGAACACATCTGAACATCTGCAGGATTCCACGCATACCTTAATCTTAACAGAGGTTCTCTTCTTCATCCATTTCTCCCTGGGCTGTGTGGGGGAGAACACTGGCAGATCTTTGTCATCTGCGGTGAGAGCTGCGTGATCTGTTCGAACCAGCTAAGGTACAAGGAACACAATTGTCAGCATAAACAGTATATAGATATGTATATATGACCATATAAGAGTTGAGTAATAATACTATTAAAGGGTACAAAAGCAGCAGATTTAAAATACAAAAATCCGAGACTCTCCCGATACCTGTCTGAGAATGAAAGCAATCACATCTGAGGACTCCCAGTACGACGCATGGAATAAATGAGGCAAGGAGTTGGTTGGGAAGTTCGCAAGGCCCTCAGGGCAGTAGAGGGCATAATCCAGACGTTTCGTTCCCCACCAGCGCTGACTCACTGCAAAAAAAAAAAGTTTTCGTGAATCATTGCTTTTTCTTCCATGTGGATCCTGCTGTCCTTTATCTTTATTTAATACTTTTGTATCCAGACTTTCCAAATTTACAAAAGAAAGGTATTAATGATTACATGCTAGCTATAATGAGATCTATGGAATGCAGTCTCAAATTGAGTAAAACAAATCCTATATGATTTTGCCATAATTAATCAATAGGTAATAATGTAACTGCTTCAGTGTAAGAAACGGACATGGAAACAGTATGAAAGCAGAAAACTGTGCCAACATTACATTCCTTGTTTGTTTTCACTTCCATCACTGTATCCACCTATTCTTCTTTATTTGATCAAAATGAAATGAGACTGTAATGTTTGTAAAAAAGGATGCAATTCCTACCTTATACAAACAAATTCAAAGCAATTTCAAGCCCAGAATCAATATATAAACTTCTCAGATAATCATTCACAGATCAGAATATTACTGCATGTTCTGAAGATACATCAACTCAAATTATCAAGAAACTTACAAGCATTGATTGTTGCAAGAGGAACAGTATCTGCCATTCCTGACATGGTGGAGAGAATAGAGGCGTCGGACATTCTCCGCGTCTGTCCTGCTAGAGACGGAGATCCGGTGGCTCCTCCAATGTCCAGGAACACCTCTCCATGAGTCTGAATGCATTCCACTGAGAAGGAAAACCAGATGAACTAGGAGCACATAACAATAACATTCTTCCCCAAGTCACAAACTTCTTTAATATTATCATCACCTTTCATGAAGGAAAAAGAAAGACGCAAAATAAATCTTTTAACCCTCGCTGCCCAACACGGGGAAAAAAAAAACCAGTTCTTACGCAGATGCGTTGGGTTCCCATCTCCAAGAGGGTACTTTGTGTAGCGGGGAATGGTGATTGGAGGGAGTAGAGAAAATCTGGCCGAGAGTAAAGGCTCCAAGCGGACAGCCAGCGGATCCGTTGGGTGGAACAAGTTATACACTTGTTGGCAAGCTGGTCTCTGTATCATACCTGATGGATGAAATGGAATTTGTTGAGTGTATATAAATATATAACAAAGCATAACATTGTTCCTAGTCTAGTTCTAAAAAATAACAGATTTAATAACAAGGCTACTGCAAAATAACCCTCCTAATCCAGCTCTTAAAAATACCCTATTTATTGAAAGGTTTGTGGTTCTATGGCAGTGAATGGTTTCTTATGTCTGATCTGTTTTTCTGCCTATTTTTTTTTTTCTTTTACAACTACATTTGGTTTCTCATTAACATTCATATATCTTATACACATTTAGGTTAAGCTTACAGATAACTGGCTTTTGAAATTTCAACCTCATAATGTTTATTGCCAAGTGCTTGAACATAATAACTTACTATTTATCATTTACTTCTACATTTTAAGGTAAAGATCTAACAAACCTTTTTCCCAAAAAATATTATTTAGATGTAAAGTTCACATAATAAGCATAAGAGATCCTACTACCTAAATTTGAAGAAATCACAAGTTGAAATTAACTATACTACAAATGCACCAATTTCAAGAAATATATGCATACACTGAGGAAAGAAAAAAAAATTGAGAGAGAAAAAAATGACAATATCAAAATAATAAACATCTTACAGTTCTTATCTTCGGCATTCACCATCTTGCGGTACACTAATACAAGGGCTAACGGACACCCAAACATGAAAACGTCTGAGACTTCGAAATCCAGTCTGCTGTGGCCATGGTCACTGTGGGGAAAAAATATGAAATTACCAAGTGATGCAAAAGATATATTTTCTTGCATCCATAACATAATATAAAACATCATAAATCTTTCTTACAACAATTTGGTATCATTCTTTCTACATATAGACTAGCTTGTCTATAAAACTAGTCCGTGATGTTAGCAATGCACAGATCTGACTTAAACCAAGGTCTCCATAATAAACTTACTTCACACACTATCTTATATCATTACTTGAACATCATTACCAAGGAAAACATGAATGATAGTAATTCCAACTACAGCATATCTTATGATGCGAAGTCACAAAAGAGAGAAAGAGCAAGATGATCATGAAAGCATTAAGATTGAAGATAATGACTTGAAGTATTGAAAGAGAAATTACATTAATTTTTGCCTCAGTTAAATAGGCAAATACTCTTACCCATGTAAAAGCACAGTAAGGCATGCAGTAACAAGATGGATAATATCCTTAAACTAGTTAATCATAATACTAAAATTATCAAGTCTAAAATATTGCAAATCATTCATGCCATGCCACTTCTGTCTGGCTTTGTTTCAATTTCACAAAAGTATCAGTAAAAAGAAAGAAAGAAAAAAAAATTGAGAGAGAAAAAAATGACAATATCAAAATAATAAACATCTTACAGTTCTTATCTTCGGCATTCACCATCTTGCGGTACACTAATACGAGGGCTAACGGACACCCAAACATGAAAACGTCTGAGACTTCGAAATCCAGTCTGCTGTGGCCATGGTCACTGTGGGGAAAAAATATGAAATTACCAAGTGATGCAAAAGATATATTTTCTTGCCTCCATAACATAATATAAAACATCATAAATCTTTCTTACAACAATTTGGTATCATTCTTTCTACATATAGACTAGCTTGTCTATAAAACTAGTCCGTGATGTTAGCAATGCACAGATCTGACTTAAACCAAGGTCTCCATAATAAACTTACTTCACACACTATCTTATATCATTACTGAACATCATTACCAAGGAAAACATGAATGATAGTAATTCCAACTACAGCATATCTTATGATGCGAAGTCACAAAAGAGAGAAAGAGCAAGATGATCATGAAAGCATTAAGATTGAAGATAATGACTTGAAGTATTGAAAGAGAAATTACATTAATTTTTGCCTCAGTTAAATAGGCAAATACTCTTACCCATGTAAAAGCACAGTAAGGCATGCAGTAACAAGATGGATAATATCCTTAAACTAGTTAATCATAATACTAAAATTATCAAGTCTAAAATATTGCAAATCATTCATGCCATGCCACTTCTGTCTGGCTTTGTTTCAATTTCACAAAAGTATCAGTAAAAAGAAAGAAAGAAAAAAAAAAAGGACTATTATTCAACAATATATCAACTTATCCAGAAATACAAGTGCATACATTACTGCAGATATGAATCAAAGATTAACATTAACCTCCTGACAGACAAGCATTACTCAGCAAGCACTTAATCTTCTCTCTGCCCTGAATATACACCAAAAAGTTCTCAGTTAGGAATTAAGCCTTAATAATAATTCCTTATCGTCAGCAAAGCATGAATCAAATTCTCCTCTTCATGACACAAGGATAAAAACAACAGAGATGAATAAATATATTCTCACAGGAAGTGCCGTCTCACACTCTTTCCTTCTCCCATCATATGGACTTTAGAGAACATACAACACACTCCAGATTCGAGAAAAACCATGATGTTACTGCATGTTTGTTTTTGTTTTTTTTTGTATTTTTTCTTAAGAGTTCGGGGTACTTAGCATGTGAAAACACTGGCCACAACATTGTCAGAGATACTCTACTGGTTTACCCAACTAGACATTACTGTAACTAGATATCTGACATCGAGTGGAAGGGGCAATATCAATAACAGGAAAAAAAGAGAAGCAAGAAATTCTAAAGACGTTAGATACCTGGAGGTCCTCGTTCTACACGATCTTGAGATAAACCAAGTGAGAGCAAACAAAGTTATTATCCAAGTTCATCCAGACTTCATGTCATCAGTCATATAAAAATCTCAGCAAATATAAATATTAATCAGAGAGAGAAAAAAAAAAAATTATAATTCTTTGGTTTTGTTTTTGTGAATTTTCTTCAATATGCCACTTCTGTTGCATCTACCAACAACAACTTCCTCCTTATATATGGAAGTGAATGAAAATAATCAATGTGCAAAATGCACATTCCATTTCCTCATTTCTCTTTTGCATAGATTCTGGAGGATGGTAAAATTGGAGAAAATGAAGACAGGAGAGACTGGGAGACAAAGAAAAAGAGGAAGACTAAAATGAAAACACTGATAAAGACAGAGAAAAAAAGTGAAAGAAAGAGTAAAGTCACTGTAAAAATCATTATACCAAAAAAAAAAAAATCTATGATACCAGGCTCATTACTACTTAAAAAAATACATATCACATATGCTCTGAAAATTTGGCAAAAGATAAGTATAATTGTCACTGACATTTGATTTGAGCAGCTTAAAGGCAATTCAAGTGGACAAAACAGTCTAAACATAGGATCAAATACAAAGAAAGAAAGGGCCATGTCAACAACTAAATAGGACAAAGATATGAAACAAAACCCCCATAAATAAATAAATAAATAAATGAAAAAAAAAGTATATGTATGTGTATATATAATATATATATATATATATATATATATATATATATATATATATATATATATATATATATATATATATATATATATATATATATATATATATATATATATATATATATATATATATATATGTTTATATATATATGTTTATATATATATATATGTTTATATATATATATGTTTATATATATACGTTTATATATATACGTTTATATATATATATATATATATATATATATATATATATATATATATATATATATATATATATATATATATATATATATATATATATATATATATACATATATACACACATATATGTCAACACACTGACAACTTTTGCCATTTTGACTTTTCATGTATAAATGATCGACGTTCTACAGGCTCTGGTAATTTTCAGGGTTTTGGAGGGTATAATATACATCTTGAATCACCCAACAGCACACTAGACATCACTAGGACACCACAATACACAAGAAAAAATAAAGGACAAGATGTAAATGTAGTTGAAAAATGTGTTACATTCTTAATTACAGGGATGGTTACCAGTCTATCCATGTAACCACAGGCAGTCTTGCAACACAGCTGTATATATGAACAGAAGAGAATGCTTTATATGCAACAAGGCCTTATTACTCGTATTAAGCACTATCTGAAATTTTGTGCATCTGATGAAATGCATATAGCCAAGCCATTTCACTTGCGCGTAAAGCTTTCCTTTTCTGTACACATCACATTTGTAGCCATGTGCCATACAAAGTCAACCCTTCTCCTCTGACGTACCTTGAAGATGAAGACTTGCGCTGGGGACTAAAACCACAATAATTGAATAAAAAAGAAATCACTTTATCACTCTGTATATAAATCATATAGTGTCAGTACCATAGAAAAAAATTGAAAAACAAAATTTTCTACCTCATGAAGAGCTGTAACTTATACTTAACCCATTACCATCAGGAATGTGCAATGTTTAGGCCTACTGCAGTTTTGTTTTGTGACACCTACATGGCTCCACAAGTGCTCAGCCACCAAGGAGTTAGTCGCTATGTGATGTCACCTGATTTCCCCTTTCCTTGAGTTTTTGGGAAAAACATTTTTCTTTCTAATGCTTCTGATATCAATGCAGTTACCCTTATTGGCATTACTATTATTATAATCTTATTAACAAAATTGATGGCAATAGGAAATTTAAAAAATATTTCCAAAAATCAAGGAAAACTATAAGCATGTGAGATAGGTAGGACAAGAGATTGACTTCCTGGTGACTATGTACTTGTGGAGACATGTGTAAATCTAATTAATAAACTCACAATGGGCATGGCATTTATGTACATGCCACTGGGTTAAAAAGTGAAATTTTAGAAATTCCTGTTAACATGCAACTGTTTTCTTTTTTTTCTTTCTCTATGGAAACTATTAACTTTAGATAACAATTAAAATTAGTATATAAAATGCCACATACACATACTCTCTCTCCCCTTCCCTCTTTCTCTTCCTCTCTCTCTTCCTCCCTCTCTCTCTCTCTCACTCTTCCTCCCTCTCTCTCTCTTCCTTCCTATCTCTTTCTCTTCCTCCCTCTTTTCCAAAGTCTACCTGTCTATCTGTCTGGCTGTTTGTTTCTCAACTAGCACAGCACTTTTCCAGCTCAACCTATTTTATAAAACATTTTAACAAAAACTCTCTCTCTTCCTCCTCTCCTTCTCTCTTCCTCCCTCTCCTCCTTTTTCCTCCCTCTCTCTCTCTCTTCCTCCTTCCCTCTCTCTCTTCCTCCTTCCCTCTCTCTCTTCCTCCTTCCCTCTCTCTCTTCCTCCTTCCCTCTCTCTCTTCCTCCTTCCCTCTCTCTCTTCCTCCTTCCCTCTCTCTCTCCTCCTTCCCTCTCTCTCTCTCCCTCTTCCTCCTTCTCTCTCTCTCTTCCTCCCTCTCTCTCTCTCTCTCTCTCTTCCTCCCTCTCTCTCTCTCTTCCTCCCTCTCTCTCTCTCTCTCTTCCTCCTTCTCTCTCTCTATCTCTCTCCCTCCTTCTCTCCCTGTCTGTCCGTCTGTCTGTCTGTTTGTTTCTCAACTAGCACAGCACTTTTCCTGCTCAACCTATTTTATAAAATTATTTCAACAGAAACTGGTTCTCACCAATCTTTTAGTTAAAAGTTACATAAGTAGATGCTCATGCTTAATACAGGCAATAACCCAGTGGATCCAGGTGACGTGACCATCACATCATGAAAAAAAATTGGCTGAGGGCTGAAATGACAGGAAAGTGCCACTATGAAATACTTGGCTGGTTTCCAGGGTGACGGGAATGACTCATAATGGGTGCGCAAAGCTCCTGGATGAGGATTAGATACAGTGGGCATTTAGAAAGGGGCTCTTGCAATATTTCCACTGGTACATTAGGCCACCTGTGAGCCTTAGCTGGAAGAGTGCCAGCTCCAGGGAGGACACTATTTCCATGCTCAGGATCCTGTTCCTGCTCACTGTGGCTGGTGGCACAGGGTGTGTTCCAGAAAATGTAATAACATGAGAGAATTTAAAAAATATATAAATACCATAATTTTAATCATTGTTTTTGTTATTACAGTTATAATCTATCAAGAGAGATATTATAGAGCCTACTCACAATCCTGATACAGCATAGTAAATAACAAATATAGCCCTTGGAAAATGGACAAAAATGTCAAAAACGTATAAGTGGAAAAAAAGAGCAAGAGATGGCAAGGAGTCTTGATACCACACATGAGTGTTTGTGTGGGCTTGGCCTACAAGCCACACACCTCGCAGATTTGCCACTCAAGCAAGCCTAGAGCCCAGATTCAGGTCCATGTGCAGGCCACGTAAAACCCAGATCCAATGAGTTATGAATGAGCAATAATAACAGCTGATGGAAGTATACAAAAATCTGTATTGACAAAATCTAGTCCAATTTTACCAACTAAAAACACATCGAGATTCCAATCATACTGGTTTTAAACACTTAATCTGCAGCCAACATTATGTTTTGACTTTTTGACAAAAATGGTTAATATAGGATGAATCACATTCTAGAAATTCATTTGACTTACAAGTTAAAAAGAAGAAACAAAAGCATAACCAATGCCTGCTGATCAGTACTCTGCCTTATGATTCTGACTTCATGGACCATTTTTCCTAAGCAATGTAATGATATTTCAATGAACGGGAAAGACAATACAATAATGACGCTGATTAACGCTAATACGAACATCAGTAAGATTGGAAATAAGGACACAAACCTCATGCTCATTGAAAAATAGTACAAGGTGGGTTTAATTTAAAAGTATATACAATATAACCATATTTATCATATGTTAAGGATAGTAGATTTTAAAAGAATCTCTTTTTCTAGATATCACGAATACTCAATTGTCACAAACTAAAGGTTTAAAAGAACACCCCAAAAACATCCAGTATATTAAAAATTCCCAAGAAAGGAAGTAAAAGAAGAAGAAAATAATAATATTCACTTGAATTCCTGCCAGTATAAAATCACCCTTGTCACCTTATCAATCTCGAGTACATAACAGTTGTTGCAGTAAGCTCAAAACTGTCTCTCTTTCTTACCTTGACGAAGACGACCTCCGCCGAGGGAAGGGGGCTGAGAGATGCCTGGCGTAGTGGTAATCAGAGTCGGACACTGATCGGCAATGGGGGACATCGGAGTGGTGAGTGGCGTCGGCGCTGACGGATTTCCGATAGACCTTTGATCCCTCGGAAGTTTCGTCGCCTATGAGAATAAGTGTTGGAATCATGTATCAGTATTTAAGATTCTCTCTCTCTCTCTCTCTCTCTCTCTGTTTCTCTCTCTCTCACTCTCTCTCCCTCTCTCTCTCTCTCTCTCTCTCTCTCTCTCTCTCTCTCTCTCTCTCTCTCTCTCTCTCTCTCTCTCTCACTTTTACACTTTCTTATACTATCTTGAGGCTCTCATATCTATGCAAATACTATAACCCTATTTAACTATGAATGAATGTAATCATCCCCGATCATCAAACTTTCATTAACATCTCGCAAGGAAAGTCTTCGTCCAAGGAAACCAAAGTATGGAAAGAAAAAAAAAAAAAAAAAAAAAAAAAAATTGCTGATTCCACACCACTGTTGCAGAACATGATGATGTGAAAATTGTGAAGTGGATTACACGTAGAACTGCATCATATAATATTTAAAACAATAAAGTTTAAAAGGAACCATCAATGCCTTATTCTTTGTATTCCAGGAAACTGGCACATAAAAAAAGAATAAGAAAAATAAAAAAATAAAAATAATAATAATAATAATTATCATTATTGATATTAGTGGACTGTATTTATGTCTATGAGGTTATTTACACACTTCCTAATAATCAATCAGAATTTGCATAAATATGAGATATTTAAAAAACTATATACACACTTCTGTTGTATTTATTTTCACAGAGATTTTAATTAATAATAATAAGAGAAAACAAATACACATAACAAATTTTGATTATGATGTGAACTTTGGGAACAACAAAATTTAAACCACACATCAATAATTATCATAAATTAATTTAAAAGATTAAATAATTATCCATATTACATCAATGCAATCTTTAAAAAAATATTTATGTGTGTATTTTAAAGATTAAAAGAAAAAAAAGGGCAAATGCCAGACTTGTACCTTTGTGTGAAAGGAAAACTGCAAGGAAAAATAAGAATTTGAAATAATTAGGAATAACTTAATAATAAATCTAATTATTAAATATCAGTGCTAATGATGTAAAAGCCGCTTAAGCATTCCTGACCCATGCAAAAGCTGTAGTTCAATGACGGATGCCTTACACTCCAAAAGCAAATTTGTGAATAAGTCAAACCTCATGCAGTAATTTCTTTTCTATCCAAAATATTCTAGGGTTTGGCCAAAGACCCATTTCCTGTTTCACTAAAAAGTCTGATCCTATGTTACAAATCAATGATAACTATAAACTAAGAATTATTGTCAGAAAAAATGAAAGCAGTCTAGATGCTTTGATATTTCCAGCCATTACAAATGACAGCCTAAAAAGGAGTCTCTAACATGCATTTATTAATAATCTTGAAGTATTGCATCTAATAATCTCAACTAATTAAAAAAACAAAGCTGTAGCTTTAAATATCAAAGAAGTTGTGTGAATCTCATCTATGACTTACCAAACATAAATAACAAAAAAAGGTCAGGTTCACAAAAGGTTATAACATTTCCTTTCTGTTGCTATGAAAGAACATATAAATGATGTAATCACAACATATCATCAATAAAAGCAAATATTCATCAAGTTGCAACAGTGATCTGAAACATTTTCTGCATTTCATATGCTCTAATTAAAGTAAACATTCATAATATCATTTTTTTTTTATTTTTTTTTAGAAGGGTTATCCACGCTGAAATTTTATATCAGTAAATTTAAAATGTAGGACTTTTTACCCAGTTTGAAAACAAGTTATTAAGACCCAATACATGTTGTACATAATGTGTCTTTTGTGAATCTGATTTTACATCTGGCAAAATGCAGGGATGGGCTGCCTAGTAATATGATGGCATGGTTACCCGTCATCAAATGTTTGCAAATTCAACTGCGTGCTCATCAGGATGCTATATTGGGTAAAAAGGAGCAGGTCGGACTTGCCTCTTCGTTCGATTAGTGGCCCAGGAAGAAGGGCATCAGGGGGGATACAAATACCCTGAAGATGGAAACGATGCACAGGAGTGTGATGTGGGTGGTAAGGGTGTTGAGAATGACTAGGGTTACTAGGAGAGGTTGTGGAAACCCCTGGTGGTGATGGTGTGGGCATGTTACAAGGTCCTCCAGTTGCCCTGTTGCCCAAAGTCCCAGTGCTACTACAGGGAACACTGCAAGGTGCTGAACACTTTCTAACAGCCTGGCCATGAGGTGCTGGCACGGGCAAAGGTGCAGAAATCTTACGCAATGGAGTCTGAGGGTTATTAAGTGTCTGTGCTGAATACACTGTGTCGGTATGTTGCAGTGTGCTAGAAGGTGTAGGAGGGCTACTGGGTGATTGTAGGGATTTTGTGTCGAGGGTTGGACTAAATACATCACCTGAGGGGTTTGTCAAAGCATTGTCAATGCTAACAGTTATAGATGGGGACGGAGATATGACTGGGGAGGAGGTCTGGGGAGGGTCTGGAGAACCTGATGGAGGAGACGCTGGGGAGAGAGATGAGGAACTAGGATGTGCTGGAGAAGGCTTCTGCTTGCAGTACTGACCCGGGGAAGGAGGCTCTCCCTCAGGAATGTTGCTATTGCTCCCGTACTTGTGTTGCTCATGGACACGGCAAAGAATATCATATACTAAGATGCCACCTACGCTGTCACCTGAAATCACATTCACGATAGTAACACTGACAATGAAAAATAATCAAGGACCTGATTATGAAATTGAGTAGTATATACCTATTGCTGATTATCCTATTCATTTGCTAAGTATCTGTATTCCATATTTCAGAAAAGCAAGGAAGAACTTTTCAAAAAGTGATATTTCTCAAATTGACATGTTATTTATTTATAGAACTGTCTAGTGAAACATCCTAAACTACACAATGATAAATAATCATGCACTGTAAGAAGGACTCTTCAAAATATTTTAAATGCAATGCAAAGGGCATTTATACAGGTAAATATTTCTTAAAACTCATATTCCTTTGGCTTAAAAAGCAACAAGGGTTCAAAGCTGTTGCTCTCCTGGGAATGATATGGAGAATAATCCTCAGAAATAGCAACATAATAAGAACGAATAAAGATTGTCACACTAGAATTTACCAAGATAAGTAAAAGGAATTATTATTAGAGGAATCAAGGATCATATTGGGCTGATTACACAAATTACCTATCTGCTCTGTCTGGGTTCAAGAGAGTCGAGAAAGAGAAGTCTTCTTTATAGTGAAGACAATCTGATGTTATCTCAGACTAGTACTTTTCAGGAAAACTTTTCCTTGTGTTAAGCAGAAGAGAATAAATTTACCATCATTAAGTCACTATCAATCTTGTCACTTCCCAATTATCTTTGTCACATCTCTTTCAGCGCTACTTACCAATCAGGCAAACCTGCCCATTAAATCCATGCCCTTCTTCCGACCTGAGGAATTCATGGTAAGCAGCATTGGTGGCATTGAGGGTGCGCGTTACAGCATCCTCATACTCAGGAGTAGCAGTGGCAAGCAGAGGCACGGCTCCCACGGGTACACTGTCACCTCCAGAAGTTTCACCGCACACAGGAGAAGAATCTAAGCCATATGGGCTTAAGCTGTTTGATAATTGGAAACACACTGGTTAGTTTATAGCTTTACATACGATAAACTTCACATAATTCCCAAATAAAAAAATATACATTTATACTTGTGTCCTCATGCATGCACTCTGCACACACACACAGACACAGACAGGCACACACACACACACACACACACACACACACACACACACACACACACACACACACACATACACACACACACACACACACACACACACACACACACACACACACACACCACACACACACACACACACCACACACACACACACCACACACACACACACACACCACACACACACACACACACCACACACACACACACACCACACACACACACACACACACACACACACACACACACACCACACACACACACACACCACACACACACACACCACACACACACACACACACACACACACACCACACACACACACACACACACCACACACACACACACACACACCACACACACACACACACACACACACACACACACACACACACACACACCACACACACACACACACACACACACACACACACCACACACACACACACACACACCACACACACACACACACACACCACACACACACACACACACACACCACACACACACACACACCACACACACACACACACACACACACACACACACACACCACACACACACACACACACACACCACACACACACACACACCACACACACACACACACACACACACACACCACACACACACACACACACACACACACACACACACACCACACACACACACACACACCACACACACACACACCACACACACACACACACACACACACACCACACACACACACACACACACACACCACACACACACACACACACACACACACACACCACACACACACACACACACACACACACACACCACACACACACACACACACACACCACACACACACACACCACACACACACACACCACACACACACACACACCACACACACACACACACACACACACACACACACACACACACACACACACACCACACACACACACACACACACACACCACACACACACACACCACACACACACACACACCACACACACACACACACACACACACACACACACCACACACACACACACACACACACACACACCACACACACACACACACACACACACACACACACACACACACCACACACACACACACACACACACACACACACACCACACACACACACACACCACACACACACACACACACACACACACACCACACACACACACACACACCACACACACACACACACACACACACACACACACACACACACACCACACACACACACACACACACACACACCACACACACACACACACCACACACACACACACACACCACACACACACACACACACACCACACACACACACACACACACACCACACACACACACACCACACACACACACACACACCACACACACACACACACACACACCACACACACACACACACACCACACACACACACACACACACACCACACACACACACACACACACCACACACACACACACACACACACACACACACACCACACACACACACACACACACACACACACACACACACACACACACAGACACAGATAGGCACACAAACACACACAAACCTTATTCAAACACCACAGCATAACCAACCATAACCTATTTACTGACCTTGACAACACATTAAGACTATCGGAACAAACAGGAGCGGCAGAAACGAGTCTCACAGCAACGTGTCCAACCATATGCGGGTAATGTTGCCTCATCACTGATTCAAAGGCTCCCCTGAAGGTGGTCAAGTCACTTCTCTTGTTCATCACATCTGTGGGTTCACGGTAACAGACTATCACATATAAGAACTAAGATGGAATTCATTTCAAGACAAAATGTAAATAACTATTGTTATCCTTGAAACAGCTCTCTTATTTTTTTGTGGTACTAGTCATCAAATGAAAAAATAATATTCCCCAAGTTATCCCCTATTCCATACTCATTATGTAGCTTAACTCTCAACTTGAAGTCACAAACTGAGGTCAGGAAATACTTCAAATTGTGAGAATATAAAGAAAAAAATTAGTCCTATTCACAAGGCAAATCAAATCTTTTCGGTAAAAAAAAATCTTTTCATGATTACAGGAATCTCTTACGATATAGGTAAAGAAGTGGGGGAAAAAAAAAAAAATCGAAAGATAAAGACAAATAATAAAGAGTTGCCGTACATTCTCCGCCTGCAGACGCACCTGAATTTGGATCAAGGACGGATCCAGCATGAATGACTAGGAGCAGGACAGTGTTCGAGCAGGGACCTGGCTGGTGAGAGGGGGAGTGGGACGGGGATGATGGTGCCGAGGCCTCCATGCTGCGACCCAGGACCCGACTGCGCTCGGCAGCCACCCTTGACATAAAGGACTGGGAGAAGATACTGTCTGCTGAGAGAAAAAAAAGATTCAATTCAATTTTTGGATACAGGAATCTTTGTACAAGAACAGTTCAACAATAAAACAATAAACCTGTATATTCCAACAGTGCATACATCCCCCAACTATTCCCACAAACTTTACAAATCAAGTAAAACTCCAAAAATATTTACCTTCATTACCTGGCTGGCTGATGGTAGACTGAGTATCACTGTCTTGAGGCAAAAGCTCTAATGAACTCCACTTGTGTAATGCAGCTGTCTCCTCCAGGTCTTCTGCTCAGGTAAATTGTAACTTGTATCAAAACTAAAGGAAATGAATCTACACGGACAATACAACTAGAGTGACAATGACCATTAAACCATTACTGGACATCAAAAAAACACACTGGCCACAATAGTATAGGTTGTTTGTTAGGTATATGGTTTATGAATACATTAGTAAATGCATGCATATAATCGACTCAAATCAATGATAGGAAAACATGTATACTTGTTACAATATAAGTGGAAGTAAAACCACAGATATCTACCTTTACAATAGATAAAAATGTGATACAGTAAAACAATCCTCCACTTTTTAAAACAAAGGCTAGAAAGTGTACAAAGGCATAGCAATTCTACTGGCTCTGAATTACACCCTGAACGCCTCAGAGGTATATCTAAGATAATAAAATTTCCAAGTACGGTTCTCGTTAGGCATAAAAACTCAGAAGAACAAATATATGCTAATGTGTATTATTTATGTTATATAAAGTGGAGTTTCAGCCTATCTTACCATTGTGGCAATAATATACAATTGTTAATAGTTCTATATACAGTACACTCTACACTATACACAATTTACGTGTATAACTGCATATGCATATCTGTGTAAATTTTTGCATATGTACTATATATACATACACAACTGTTAACAAATAAATACACATGGTAATTTTGGCAATGCAATCCATATATAAACATACAAATAATCAACAAAGGTGAATGGCAATATGGGGTCAAAACTTCTCTAATTCCGAAATCCTACTGTACAAAAATCTGAAACATGCATCATGCTACTCTCCTGCTCCTTCATATATAAAACAAGAATCAAAATTGCTTTGTAATTCACTGAATCTTTCTTGCTATCATGCATACTGAGCATGACAGATTATGGAAAATACCTTGTAAACAGGACTACCTGAAATGCTACTTCAATTAAGAGCACGTGATGAATAACAAAAGTGCTTCCTCCCCAAGCCTGTTGCAATTGCACACTAAGGTAAAGTACAGTTACTCATAGAATTATGCATGAAACAATATAAAGAATATATATTCATGCAAAAAAAATCTTTGTAACAGCATTAAGTGATGAACATAATGAAAATATATGGTTAATACAAAATGGTACCAGTACTCTTGTTTCCTCATGAATCAAATCCTAGTCAGCTATGAAATCCATATTCACTTAGTCTGAATTTCATGAGTTCCATCGGCCTTCATTTCTCTCAGAATAGAAAAAGGAATTAAATGACTTATGAATCAGAAATTTTATCAAACAGTTAATCAAAAAAACATCTAGCATGGATGTCTGTACTAATAACTGAATTTTTTTTGCATGCATCTTCATGAAAGAGTTTGTAACACCTTATCAAGATCTCAAAGTGACAGTCTAGCTAAAATATGATGGACATGAATTACTGTTTAATATGCAGCAAAAAGTCACAACTTTGAGATGACAGAAACAGACTGCAAGTTTTTACATTCAGGATAACTGACCTCCTTTCTTTTTTAAAATAGTTCTTGTCATACTCATGAAGAGATGAGGATGACAAGTATAATATTCAAAAGCTCTGATTTGAGGTGTGATAAAAGAAGTCTCAAGTTATCCAGTATATTCCTGAGGAAATTCTATGAAGACTAAACCTGACTCAGACCTCTAGTCAGTTGCTAATGAAACTGGTTTAGATAAGCTACGTACTTCTCACACAACTATTAATGTTATAAGACTTTTTTGTGACTGTTTCTTATGGGTATATGTAATAGACCTACACGATGGACACTCTCCTGTTCAATGTTTACATTAATCCATCATGTTTCTGTATTCATCTGACTTTTCTTGCATCATCTGCAGATTCCTCTTACTTCCACTCTCTTAGTCACCTGCATGGGTGTAATGGCAATTGGCTGTATGTGTCAACTTCCACTTCAGATAGAATGTATCCACCACTGCTCATTTGCGAGAATTCCTTGTAAATGCCCTAGAAGCACTAATCCAGGTTGCAGAATCTGTGCAGCTAAAAAGGTGATGAGGCCTTTGCTTACATAAGAATTACTTTATCCATGATAATGCAGAATATAGCATGACCTGTCAAATGTGATTAATTATTTCATTTATTATTACCATAAAATCAAATGTAGATAAACCTGATATCCTTCCCGTCTAGACAGGCACAAAGGCATAGAAAAGAGACAAGCACCAAATGAACAGGAGAAGAAATTGATAACAATATGGATGATCAACAGAAAGACGAGTGGTAGATTTTTTAAAGTTATATTCTAAGCTCTGGTCAGTACTGCACCAGGAAGCTTGTTTATTGGCTGTTTCTATCACTAACTTCCAAAAATATATTTAGTTAGATAAAAAAAAGAAACATTCCATGCATATTCACAATAATGCCCACCCTTAAATGTTATCTAGTTATTAGAAATGTGAGGTTAAATAATGTCTTATGATTGTACATAAAGTATGATATTCTGAAAAAAAAAAAAAAAAAAAAAAAACTATGAGGAAAACTGCTCGAAACTGCTGTTCCCAATATCTCCATCTGTAAAGTCTGATTCTCCATTGTGAACACCAAACTAAACAGGCTTAATTTCATAATTCAATATGGTTCTATTTGACAATAATCTTGTTAGCAATAGGCAAGAGGAGGAAACAAATCATGAACGTTATTCATCTGAATGACTGAAGAACTTTTTGTGGCACTGACTATTCTTGTTTTATCTAAACTGCTGTGATATAATGATCAAATTCTAATTCTAAGCAACTTGAAAGTGAGAAGATATACACTTCATGAAAGTGCATGTAATGCATATATACATATGTATGTTTATAAGGATATCTCATAACAGTTGATTTTGAAAAATACTTCTGAGTGACTGAGAAAGAGGGAAAGAGCAATAGACAGATAGACAGATAGATAGATAGATAGAGAGTGAGAGAGAAACCCTATTCCAGTAAAACCCTAAAAGATACCTTTATTTTCTGAGTTATGAAATAGCCTAATAGCAATGTATGTTCAAATTTGTACAATGTGTGTGAGAGAGAGAGAGAGAGAGAGAGAGAGAGAGAGAGAGAGAGAGAGAGAGAGAGAGAGAGAGAGAGAGAGAGAGAGAGTGTGTGTGTGTGTGTGTGTGTGTGTGTGTGTGTGTGTGTGTGTGTGTGTGTGTGTGTGTGCGTGTGCGTGTGCGTGTGCGTGTGCGTGAGTGTGTGTGTGTGTTCATTAACATGTATACATGTGCATTGCATTTATCTTTAAAATTCTGATAGCAAGTCAAATTACATATTAAAGGATAATACATTTAATAAGCAGATTTATACAAAACATTATTACAAGCATATTATTATCTATGTTTTATTCGTTATCTACAAATATCAGTGTTATGGTTTTAAATATCCTTAAATTGCAATGCATTTTCCCCTTGTACAAAGTAGCACCTTGCTGAGTTATTGCCATGACAATATGAATGTGAACCTGAATTTTGTCAAGAATTTGTTATTATACATTTTTCCAGGCCAATCAGATATTTAGCCTTCACTCCTGCAGTAAATCATGTTCAATCCGACAACACCAATGGAGTACACACATGTTGACCTCTGACCTTGAAACACATTTACAGATCTCCCCACAGGATCAGATGATGCAGGAGGGAATGCTATCTCTCATGCAGGTCAAACAAGGTATGCCTAGGACTCTTTTGGATCTCAATATTCACAGGTGCTATTTGTTTTCAAGGAGGAATGGCATTCAGTATATGGGGCTGATGAAACTGTATCTGAACCCTTCTAGACTAATCAACGTGTTTGCAGTACACTATAAAAAAGAAAAAGAAAAAAGGAACAGCCACTACTGCATGACATGGACATCTGATTTCTCACTATTGCTTCAATTAACAACATACTGATACAAGACAACATGCAGATAACCCATTCCATCAATCCACAGCATTCTTCAACTATCAATAAGTCAGTCCAAAAAAATAAGCAAGCACATAACGCCATGATGCACAACATTCTCATTGCCTTACATCATCATCCAGAGAAATAATCTTCACAAGCCAAACTAAGAGTAAAGGGCAGGTCAGCACAGAGAAAGAAGAATGAAGCGGCTGGTTCAGACAGATGGGGGGGAGGGGGTTGAGGGCAAAACCAAAGAGCAAGGATAAAGTAGCTGCAAACTAACTAACTCTTTCCCCCGCACTTGTAAGTGAAACACTGAATGTATATGGTTAGCTAATACACTCTTTAGAAAGATAAGCAAAATCAAACATTTGCTAATTTTAGTCAAGATTACAGTAAGCTGTTTTTAGTGGTTTTAGTTTTTCTAAGCAGTAATAAAAAAAAACTATGATTCAAACATAGTGTGCACAATCCAAGGAGTAATAAATCTATTTTCCATCAAGGAAAAAAAATTGCAAAGTATTTTTGCATTTCATGTTACTCTAATATTTCTTACAGTAAACCAACCTATGAAATTCATTTTCAATAAGTATATCACAATGGAAGTTTAACAGAATTACTTTTACATAGTCTATGATGCATCAACGGTATCAATATAACTCAGAAATAAGAATTGAGGAATTATAATACAGTACATATATGACTACAGGTAATTCCTAAGTAAATGTAGAGAACATATCTAACATCATTTCTAATATAACAATATCTTCAAAAATGATACTGATTTTCTTTTTATTTCAAACTGTACCTCAAAGGATAAAATCTCCTTGGTCTTTATTCATTACTAAGACATCAGAACTTTACCAAAAAAGGGACAAGAGAACAACAAAATACACTATAGGATAGGGGTGTGTGTACCAACCAAAGGGACAGGGGAACCTTTGCACGGAAGAAAAAAAAGGGATATCCAATAAAACTGCGATGTTATGGGTACTATGGGCTTGTCATACAACATGCAGGACTGGGTGGGACTGGGCACCTTGGTACATACCCTTTATTATGGGGATGGCTGACCCTGCATAAAACAAACAGATGAACCAGTGAGACACGA